TCCAACCCTCACTAGCTATATCTCTAGCTCTGCCTCACTGGGAGCCTACCTTATCCATATGGGCTTTGACCATGTCACTGGTGTCTGCTATCCAGGTACAACAGTCCTCTACTATAAATTCACAGAAACGCCCCCTTGGACGCTAAAAGATAATCAAGTGCCATCTTTTCCTGCAGTACCAGAGTCTTCATCTGTCAATGTTCCTGGGTGATCTCCCTCACTGCCTCAACAGTTTCCTTGAACATCTCATCCACTATGGACAAGAAATTGTTCAATCACTTCATAAGTTCAATTCCCCATTCTGTCCAAGCAGGGAACCATGCCCAGGCCTGGTCAGAGTTGGAAAATAATTCCCTTCTAGCTCTCTCTGCCCTTCTTACCTTCCTCCGCACCATCAGTTCCTCCCGATCGGCTGCAACGTAAGATGCAGGGACAAGCTTCACCAGGACGCATTAATCTCTCGCATTAGGGGGAATCACCTTATAAGCGCATAAACCGCATAGGAAATAGTAAGGACCAGTCAACACCGCACAAGAAGAATTTCTATAAGTTGTAATTGAATAGACTGGGGGATCGCTTCCTCAGTCGGAACGTCACACCCTTCTTTCCAGCAGATGTAATCTGGTCTATTGATGTCATTAAAAAGAGAGAGGGTTTCGTTAGTGAGATTGACTGTTACACCTTTCTCACAAGTGGTGGATCCCACAAATCTACTTCCCTCACCAAAATTAAGGTTAACGCATACTTGTGGACTGCCTAGTTGTCCTGATACCCATACGGGATTAGCAAGCAAACGGCAGGAGCCAGAGCTAATGTTAAAACTATAACTGATGTTATCCTCTAGGAAAGTGTCATTAAGTTCTATTGACAAATGTTTCCTTGTGGCTCCTGCTAGTTTCCCGTATTTCCTCATGCCAATACTGACATCGTATATAGCATGAACTGCTGCCATTGCTGGGGTGAAATGGCTCGGTGGAGGTTTAGAGCATACCCAGCAATTGGACCTATTTGCCGTCTTAGCTAGTTGGAGGTGCATTTTAAACAATAGGTTGGGATGTTCTCTATCGTTGCTCAGATACACTAGACTAAGAATATAAATCAAAGCGATACTCCTCATTCTTTGATGTAATTGAGCAGCTTCTTGCAGTGGCTGGTGTGGGTCCAGCTGTCATGTCCCTTCGATGTTTCCTCACGACGACCCAGTCACCTGGTTGAATAGAATGTACACCGGTTATCGCGTCAGGGTCCGAGATAGACTCCCGAACCATGTGATGGACCTTCTGGAGCTCTCTTTGTAGGGACTGCACATACCCCGTCAGCTGAGAGTGTAAAGATGACAGCTGCTCAGGGAAGTACAATCCAGTTTTTGGCTGACTCCCAAACAAAACCTCATAGGGTGATCCTTATGAATCTCACAGGCCCTTGCTAGTGCCCACAGCTCCACTTCTTGTGCAGACATATGGGAACCCAATGAACCCTTCTCCACAACTTTACTGGCTGTAAAGCGCTTTCGGGGCCTCAAGGGGTCCCCGAAAGCCCAGAATGTTATTCTGAGCCTGAGCAATGTGTCATTAAATGGACTGTTGCTAAATTACTCTTATGGGTTGCTGGTGACATTATTTCTCCATTAGGGCAGTTGAAAGGTACATGATGGGTCGGTACCTGGACCCGTGTAGTTGGGTCAGTACTCCAGTTGCATGGCCCTGATTTTCATAGCAAAAAAGATAGAAAGGGGGGGTCATAGTTGGGTAGACCTAAAGCAGGTGCTTTGGAGAGTTCCTGGATTAATTTCTGTAGGATTGACCAGTTGTCATCAGACAATTGAAAAAGGTGTTAGTGATGTTAACTCATAAAGGGGCCCTAATTTGGATGATATGTTAGGGACTTAGTCTCTGCAGTAATTGATAAGTCTGAGAATGGCTCTCAATTGTTGAGTGTTCCGAGGTCTCTAGATGTCTTTCAGGGTCTGGACTCTCTGGGTGGTTAAATGTCGGGTACCCTGAGATATGCAATGTCCTAAAAAGATAACCTTTTTCTTGCAGAACTGTAGTTTCTCCTTGCTAGCCTTATTACCCCTAAACGCCAGATGGTTAAGCAATGATACAGTATGCTGATAACAAGCCTCCCGCGTGGGACAACAAAGTAGCAAGTCATCCACATACTGCAGCAGTACCACCCCGAGATCCATCGGGGCCCACTGATCTAACACAATCTTAGGCTTGCAACTGTATTCCGAGGGACTAGTCACTGACCCCTGAGGGAGACGTGTCCAAGTTAGTTGTTGACCCTGGAATAAAAAAGGTACTGGCACTGGGGGTCCAGTGGTACCGACAAAAATGCATTAGTTAGATCAATGACACTGAAAAATGTTGCATTTGGTTGTATAGAGGCTTCAGATGTTATAGATGGAGATTGAGGTAGAGAGACAGTGTGAGGAGATGGATCCTGAGGAGGTTTGCTCTACAAGATAGAGAAGCTGGACAAAGAGAGGTAGCAATAGTGGAATCAGCAATAGCAGAGGTTTCAGGAGAGACAGCAGTAGTTTCGGTATTAGTGGATCCAGCTCGTCTTAGCAGGGTTAGCCCAGAGAGGGCTTCCTCCGCTTCTCTTACTGGATCACCACATTCAGCTATCCCTTCAGGCAAGGTATACATAACGCGGTTCTTCCAGACTGAAACCGCCCTCTATACAACCTGCCGATTACCCATTATAGACTTTTGAAGCCATAACTGAGATACATCCAAGGTCCCTGATGCCTGTAGCCTGGGTCCAAACTCGGTGATGAGTTTCTGAGCCAAAAAATTGTCCATCGCACTGAAAGATTGTTGTACAAAAGATTTTCATATAAACCTTTTTAAACTTTATTATATTTTTAAACTTCTGTATTTAATTCATATCCACTGTTTGATTACTCCATTTGACGTGATTTTTGTTTTTTTAGCTGATAAAAGTGTTATTTATTGTATTTTACTTTTGATAAAGGGGGATTTATTGAGACAAATATTGGCTAAACTGTCAACTATTTCTCTATTTTGTTTTGTATGAGGGGATTGGGAGTGCTGGCACTCAGTTCTCCAGCTGCCAGAGTAACAGGAGTGACACTGCCATCACTCCTCTCATTCAAACAGCTGGAGAATGGAGCACACCGCACAGCAGGGGGCCGCAATAGCTGCCGCAGGGAGGATTCTGCTCACTCCTCCCTCCAGTAGCACCAGATACAGATGGGGTGCCCACTGAGAACAGATCTTGATCTAATTTTCAATGTGGCACTGAGCAGAGACTGCCCTTCTTTCTGTCTCTCCTTGTCATGTGACGTATAACATGACCAGATAGGGGAAGAAGGAGAAGCAGCTTTAATTTCCAGGCGGGCGCCATACTGAAAAAGAAGGTCTGTGACTGTGAGTACACAGAAGGTGGGGGGTAGCTACTTCCTAAGGAGCCCCATGCCATTGTTAAAGCTATTCAACTACACTTCCTCCCTTAGATCCCATTCACACCGTGGAACTACATTAAATGCATGCTATCGCACAGTACACCTAGCGTATGGTACAGTGCGTTGCATTGTCATTTATTTGAATGGCACCCTAATGCACCTCCTGGCATCCGTGCATTGCGGCACAGCATGTGGTACCACAATACCGTGCATTGTGGTGAAAAAAAGTAGTGCAGATTTACACTGCAACCAATCAGCTTCTGTCTCATTTTCAAATCTTTCCTGAGCAAACTGCAGAGGGAAGCTGATTGGTTGCCATGGGTAACTGCTCCAGATTCTGTCTGCTCCAGTTTTGATAAATACCCCCCCACAGCATTGAGTGTTTAACACAACACCATGGTGTGAATGGGCCACACAGGGCACCTTAGGTAAATGCACCCAATAGGGCCTCCCAAGTCATCCTAATGACACATATGCATACCTTTTTCCATAGACTGATGCCACTAATGAAGCCACATTTTCACCTCCTATTAACACCGACACAGCAGCATTTTTTCATTTTACTGAAACCACTTGTGCAGGGGCAATTTTTATTTTTAGTAGTGACACCAGTGATGCAGGGGCATTTCTTCCTTTCACTGATACCACTGATGCAGGGGTATTTTATCCTTCCAGTGACACCAGCGATACAGGGGAATTTTCTCTGTCCAGTGACACCAGCGACGTAGGGAAAATGTTTCCTTCCAGTGACACTGCAATGCTGGGTAATTTTTTTACTTCTAGTGATCCCACCAACTTGGGGACATTTTCTTCTCACACTGATGCTGGGGCATTTCTTTCTTCACCCCTTGTTGGCCCCCATTTTTACTACGGCATAGAATGTGCTATTGCATTCAAACATTACATGCATTTTGGCGCAATTTGCTGGATGCACTGCTATTAGCACTGCCCCCTGTTTCACCTGAGGGGGGTGCAGTTCAGCATCTGTGCTTTGGGCACTGGATGACCTCATCCTACCAGTGTTATGATATGTGATTCATAATTACATACAGGATAACTGGCTGCAGTCTTACTTGTTATGCATGTGAAATCTGCATTACATTTTATCTGCTTACTGTAGAAATCTTCCCGCTACTGATGCCAAATATTCCTCACTGGTCTGTGTTGCTTGTGTGTTTAGATGAAGCACTGAGATCTTGAGGAATGCTGAAATAAGTTTTACTTGCTTATAAGGACATATCAGAATACAGAATTATACAGCATACAGAGAGAACTTCCTGTATACACCATAGACTAGCATGAACACAAAGACTAGCATAGTCTTTACACTACATTGCATTGCACTACAGCGCCATCTACAGCTCAAAAGACATAACAGTAGAATGTCAGTAATATGCTGTTGTATTTCCAACAGTCTGATCTTCTGGTGCTGCGGGGGTTAAGATCAGTGGCTGAGACTTCCTCCTCACTCATTCACAGACACACAGAACTGTGTATCTGATATAAAGTTATATTTGAGATGTTGTGTATTATAAAAGTGTTTGACCCTTATTATTGTCCTAATTAGAGAATTAAGGAAGGAAGCATTAGTGACCAACTGAAGACTGTCAATGTAGGTGACAATATTGAAGCCATAAATGATCAGACAATTGTGGGATGCCGACATTATGAAGTGGCGAAGATGTTAAGAGAACTTCCAAAGAATGAGTCGTTTACTTTGCGCCTAGTTCAGCCAAAAAAAGCATTTGGTGAGTCATTAATTACATTTATGGTAAATGGAGAAAGATAACAGTGAAAACGAATTAAAAATGTTTTACTTTATGTTTGCATTGTCTAAAAAGTACCTTTAATCTCAATGTAAAAAAGCAAATCTTGTCCTAAGCAACAATTTGGATGATTGCATCACTGAATTTCTTTTTCCAAAAGAACAGAATGTAGTAACACTTTTTGTACACACATTGTTCTTTTATGCAATTTTCATTACTATTAAGGGAGTGGGATGTTAAAAGCTGTTAGGAAAATATGTGTTTTTATGATTCTTGCTCTGGGGTTTTGATTCTTAATTTTCCTTCATGACCTAGTCACTTCCCTTGGACAAGAATAAGCATATCAGGTGTTAGGACTACTAAGACCTCATGCACACTACATTGAAAAATGTTGAGTTCAGGAGCATTTTAAGCTCATTTCTAAAACACCTGAACTCATGTAATGCTTTTGTATGACTGAAAGAACACCTAGACATCCAGCAGTTGAAAGCGTTTACCCAAACTAAACATGTGTAAATGTGACTAAGCCTAGCAACAACTAAACACAGGAAATGTGTTTATACTTACCAGAGAACTTCTGGTATCAGTCTATGACTGATGTCAGGGCAGCCATCAGAAACACAGCTTTAGGTCTGGGCTCCCCCTCCGCACTGCCGTTTGGAGGCTCAGTTTCCAGATGACAGCGGCTCTGTGCGTGGCTGAGCGGGGGATCTAAAAGTATCATTGATATTTACCGATCCTCTGTGCAGCACAAACACCGGAGTGATCGTGTGATCACTCCAGTGTTTGTAAATAACTGGGGACACATAGGGGGTTATTCACAAAGCTGCCAAAGGCAGCCGTGTGAATAACCAACCCGAAGTGAAGTGAGCCGAACGCCGTTCGGCTATTCACTTCAGGCTTGTACAGCTGATTTCAGCCGTACACCGACTGAAATCAGCCATATAACGGCTTGCTGCGGCTGGGTGCGGGTCGGCCGAAGTGCAGAAGGAGTTTGACTCAGCTAATCCAACATCTGGATCGGCTTAGCCGAACCTCCGGCAGGCTACTCGTTGCTGTTCGGCCTATTCTCATAGGGGCCAAACAGCAGTGAGTGAATAGCCAAATGCCGCCGAGCGCCATTCCGCTCAGCTATTCTGCTTGGTACCTCCGTGGTACCGAGCAGAATAGAAAAAGGAGAAAATTATTGGGCGGAGCTAGCAGTGACAGCGTGATGCGTAGACCTATATGGGTTGGACTTGATGGACGTATGTCTTTATTCAACCCCAAATACTATGTAACTGTTTTCTATTGGACGGGACCAGCTATTCATTACAATGAGAACTTGTCGGAGCCGGCGGTCATATCAAAGCTGGCTCCGACAAGCTCTCATGACAGTCCAGCATCCCCTGGTTACTAGGTAACCAGGAGATGCTGAACTGTCATTACACACTGAGAACCCGGCGGAGCCACTGTGATATCATGGCGGCTCCGCCAGGTTCTCAGTGTGTAATGACAGTCCAGCGTCCCCTGGTTACTACAATGAGAGCTTGTCTGAGCCGGCGGTAATATCAAAGCCGGCTTCGCCAAGCTCTCATGACAGTCCAGAGTCCCCTGGTTACTAGGTAACCAGGAGATGCTGAACTGTCATTACACACTGAGAACCCAGCGGAGCCGCCGTGATATCATGGCAGCATCGCCGGATTCTCAGTGTGTAATGACAGTCCGGCGTCCCTTGTTTACTAGGTAACCAGCAGCTGCTGAACTTGTCATTACACACTGAGAACCCGGCAGTCCAGCGTCCCCTGGTTACTACAATGAGAGCTTGTCGGAGCCGGCGGTAATATCAAAGCCGGCTCCGACAAGCTCTCATTACAGTCCAGCGTCCCTTTTGCGCCCTAGGCAAGACCAACTACAGGCGCCCCCCCCCCCAACATAAAAATTGGCAACTTTGATTTTTGAAGACAGATTTGTAGAAAAAAATTAAACAATTAAACATGAGACTGTTAAATTTCTTTTAATTTCAAGAATAATTACTATAAGATGCCAACTGCAGCGGTTAAAATATAAATTAACCAAATATAAATGAACTGTATTTATCAAATATAAATAATCTGTTTCAACCAAATATAAATTGACTGTATTTTTCTTACAGTAAGACAGAGTAACAAACAAAAAGGACAGACAGAGTTGCAGAAGAACTCTTTCTACATAGCAATATAGTCTTGCAGAAATCCAGAGTTTTGAATTTTAAACAAATCAAAATCTCACTTTGCGCGCCTTTTCCTTTGCAAATTTTTTCACCATTTCAGCCAAATCAAGTGCTGATGCCTGAGCATGCCTGAGCATGTTCAATTGATATTGTTGCCAAGCCAACTAGTCTCTTTTCCAACATTATAGAGCGTATGTAAGTTTTTATTAGTTTGAGCTTTGAGAAGCTACGTCCACCACTTGCCACTGATATTGGAAGTGTCAGAAGGATCCTTAGAGTGACAAACATTAGGCACATTATCCAGAAGTCTTTGTTGTTGTATGAAGCAAAGTACTTCTTGTGGCGGCATGGACCTCGGAAGTCTTCGAGCTATTGCTTCAAGTTCGCAGTGTAGGTCTTCAGCAGCAATATCCTTGTTTCCATTATGCATCAATGATCTTTCCAAATTCTTGCAGTCCTTAACTAAATGTTCAGTAGGTTTTGCTTTATGCTCTATATATCATACAGGAAGCCAAAAAGTGAATTATATTGATGTAGCTGTTGGAATCTCTCCAATAGATTTTATGGCCATGTCTAGAACTGCATAGTAAAAACTGGTTTAGAATTTCTGCTTTGAATCTTTTGGTGCCTCTTCTGGGCCCCATATTCAAACTGCCGTTTCTTCCTCCTGTTTCTCACTTGATCTTCAGTCTCAAAGTTTGGTAGTATCTGTATTTCTTTGGCAATCTCAGTGGCATCTGTTAGAACTTGCTGAAAACCCTCATCAGGCCTGCAGTCCACGAGATAATTCTTAGTCGCTTGCAATTGTCTTGTAGCGGAATTTAAATTAGCTTCCTTATTTTGCAGTAGCTTGCTTCTAAGATTTACTTCAAAAAGGATGTTGTACCATGTAACAGGGGATACCACAAACTTGAACTTACTAAGTGCATTAGCAAAGGCTTTGGCTTCAATTCAGGAAGTATTTTCAGATGGACCTGTTAGGCTTGGAACTTCAAAGATCTCTATTAACCTCCCCGGCGGTATTCCCGAGTCTGGCTCGGGGTTAATTTTCTGTACCATAAGCGGTAACCCCGAGCCAGACTCAGGAATACAGCGTCGCGTCTCTTACCTTGTCCGCGATCCCCGCTATGTCCTTCAGGCGATGCCGGCATCCTTCTTCTGGGTTCCGTCCCTTGAGAGCGTCCGCGTCGCAGGGTGTGGATCCGGCGGTAAGTTTAAAAGTTTAAAAAAACACAAAACGAAAAACAGAGCAAAAAAAGGAAAGAAAAAAAATAATCATACTGCCAGGGAGGTTAAAGCATCATATATATTACCAAGATGATATCTCAGTGGTTTCAAAGCATGGATCTGACTCTCCCACCTTGTTTCACTCAATGACTTAACAGTTATGCCTAAATCTGATATATGGCTAGTTAGAACTTGCCAACGTTTAGTCGAAGAAGAAAAATTATTATAGATCTGTTGAACCAAACTTAAGAAAGTAGTTGCTTCCAGGCAACACCTAGCAGCATCATTCACTACCAAGTTTAAAGAATGTGCATTGCAGGGCACAAAAAAGGCACGTGGGTTTAAGTCTAGAATTCTTTTTGCCTTTCATGTTACTTCCATTGTCATACACTTGACCACGCAGATTTTCAATTGGTAATCCAATTTGCTTAAGCTGTTCAAGGAGAGTTTCTGCTATAAAGGCACCTGTAGTCTCCTGTAGTGGAATAAACCCCAAGAAATGTTCTCTTATTTTAATTTCTTCAGACTCATTATCCGATGGTTTGCTCAATTCAATGAAAAGCACAATCATTGTCATTTGCTCAACGTGACTAACATCAGGCGTGCAGTCCAGAATAATTTGGCTGAGTTTTGTATGTGTTATAATTTGCTGCCTTATAACACTGGCTAGAAGATGTATAAGCTCATTCTGAATATCTTTTCCAAGGTAGTGAACCATTGTTTCTTGATCTTTAACCCTACGTGAATGTTCATTCATGAGAGGATCAAAAAGGGCTAGATATTCAACAAACCTTAAAAAGTTTCCATTGCCAGCACTGTGCAACTTGTCATTTGTACCATGGAATGACAAGTTTTGCATACCAAGTACTCTTACCAAAGTAATCAAACGCTGCAAGATTTGTTACCAATATTGTTCTTCTTGCCTAATTTTCTGCTGGTTAATAGAATCAATTGTTTTTTCTTTAGATAAGCGCAATTCAAGTTCACGCCAGCCTTGATAGCTTTCGAAATGGTCAGTATTCCTTTCATGTGAGGAAAGAATTGCTCCAATGTTCTTCCAGTCTTTTGAACCTGTTTCTTGTAGGGATGATGCAACATTTCTTTTGCTGAACAATTTACAGCAAAAACCACATCTTTTGAGGCTGAATATACCAACCATTGACGGCACACTTCTTCACCATTTACCAGTCTCCTTTTGTAGTGTATAGGAGAAAATCTTCTGTTTTTTGAGTCTTTGGGAAAATCATGTGATACAACCTGCTGTGGTCTATGTTGTATTATAAGTTGTCGCAAATCATCACGGTAAGAGTAGGGCCATTTGGCAGGGTCACTGTAATCCAAATCAGGCACAATATTATCTTCTTTTGAAGACTTTGCAGTACTCTCACTTTTACTGACATCTTCTTTTTCCTCTGTGTGCTTTTCAGAAATATTTCCAATTTGTAAAACTTCTGTGTTAGAGCTTATATCACTTGTAGTAGGAGCTCCTCCAGTAATAGTTTCAACAGGATCTGCTTTTTTGTATGAAGGTATTTCAAGAAGGACCCATCTTGCTTTGCTTGCT